AATAGTCAAGGAAGTATTAATAAGATCAGAGACTTCCCTGAGAAAATCTGCTTGAGGTTTTTTAAACATTTCATACAGCCATAGCACCTTGGATCATGCCATCATTTTATATTTTTGTTTACTTAATATAGAACTCTAGAGTATCTATAAGATGGAGACAAGAAATAGTTTTCTCATTGTATATTTTCATCACAGTTCTTTAAGTGGTAGTTATTCACTAAATACTTGTTAATAGAAGGAGTTAAGAAAAAAATCTAATTTTGAACACTTGCCTTCTTTCACTCCATGTTTAGGAGTGGTCAAACAAGCTTGTGCTTGGTGCATTACTGCACTAGAATTATGGATCTTAGAATTTGTTTTCATTAAACAACTCTTATACACTATTGGTGGTATTGTAAATTCATATCACCATTTTGGAATATAGTATGGAGGTTACTCAAAAAGCTAAAAAACATCACCATATGACCCAGCAATTCCACTATGGCTCTATCTGAAAGGAACTGAAATCAGGATGTGGGAGAGATGTCTTCACTTCCATGTTCATTGTGGCATTATTCACAATAGCCAAAATATGGAAACAGTGTAAGCATTCATCAATGGCTCTATTTTAAAAAAGTGGTATATATACACCCAGTGGAATACTATTCAGCCTAAAAAACCCCAGAAAATTCTATCATTTGTGACAACACAGGTGAACCTTAGAAGACATCATGGTAAGTTAAATAAGAGGGGTGTAGAGAACCAAATACTGTGTGATCTCACTTCTATATGGGGTCTAAAAAAGTAGAACTCAGAAGCAGAGAGTAGGATGGTGGTTACACAGGGCTGGGGGAGGGTGGTGAGACAGACAACAGGTAAAAAGCTATAGTTACGAGGAATAGATTCTGGTCTAGTGCACAGCAAAGTGGCTACAGTTAATAATGTATATTTCAAAATAGCTGAAAGGATTTTGGATATTCTCACTACAAAGAAATGACAAATATTTGAGGCGATAGGTGTGATAATAAGCTTGATTTGATAATTGTATAATGTATACACAAATCAAAACATCACATTGTAAATATATGCGATTATTATTTGCCAATTGAAAATTTAGCTGTAAAAAACTAGGTAATCACAATGGAAGGCATGGCTCTGTCCGTGGTGCTGAAATCAAGAGCGCTTAGGGAAGGGATGGACAGAGATGAATGAGGATGAGGAAAGGGAAAGTGGACCCCCTGCCACCTAAACTACACGGGCTTCCTTCACTCAACTTCCCTCCAGGAAGGCAACAAGTGAGTGAATAAATTTTATTCACCATGTTTTTCTGTTTCTGCCTCTGTGGCATCATCTATTTTTATAGCTTGTGAAATTTCTGGAAAAGAGGGGAGGAGAATAAGCTTCAACATATTTACATTTCTTATTCTAATCAGAGATGTCAGACACACCACAAAACCCTGAGATAAGCTTTGTCGTGTTATATTTCGTCTTCTGACCATTTTGGAACATGGCAACCATCAACTCAACAAGGAGGAGTGAACTAGTACACCAAGCATGAGATTCAAAATCAGAGGATTCACAATCAAAATCATCTCTATATACTAGCGATAAACAAATGACATTAATAAAACAATTCCAAGCCAGGCATGGTGGCTCACGCCTGTAATCCTAGCATTCTGGGAGGCTGAGGCAGGAGGATTGCTTGAGGTTGGGAGTTCGAGACTAGCCTGAGCAAGAGTAAGACCCTCTCTCTACAAAAAATAGAAAAATTAGCAGAGCACAATGGTGCATGCCTGTAGTCCCAGCTACCCAGGAGGTGAGGCAGGAGTATCTCTTGAGCCCAAGAGTTTGAAGTTGCAGTGCATTACGATGACACCACTGCACTCTAGCCAGGGCAACAGAGCAAGACTGTCTCAAAAAACAAAAAATAATTCCATTTACATTAGGATGAAAATATTTAGGAAAAAATTTAAAAATGAAATGTATATTGAAAACAAAATATAATTGAAAAAATTGAGAACATCCTAAATAAATGCAAAGACCATCCTGTGTTCATGGCTTGGAAGACTATTGTCAAGATCATTGTAAAATTCATATGGAAATCCAAAGGACCCAGAACAGAAAGAAAAAAAGTGTTGAAGGTGGAAAATCATACTTTCTGATTTCAAAACTTACTATAATGCAACAGTAATTAAGTCAGTGTGGTATTGGCATAAGAATATACATACATTACACAGCTCCACACATATAAAAGAAAAAAAAAAAAAAATAAAAAAAAAAAAGAATATACATACAAATCAATGGTAGATAATTGAGAGTTGAAAATAATCTATGATTTCACATAAGAGTACCTAGGAAATTTAATGGGACAAAATAGTCCTTTCAATACATGTTGCTGAAACAATTGAATATCCACATGCAAAACAATGAAAATGGATCCTCTACCTCAGGCCATACAGAAAAGTTAACTCAAAATGGATCAAAGACCTAAATGATTTTAAGAGCTATGACTATAAAACCCTTAAAAATATTGGTGCAGGAGGAGGAGGAAAAATGGTAGACTAAAAGTGACCTCCTGGTGTCCTGCTCCCAGAGAAAGGTGAAGAACTAGGACTTCTATGCATGAGTGGATTGCTCCCCTCATTGCAGAGAAACAGCATGGGACACACAACACAGAAAAAGAAATGGTGAATGGGAGATAGGATCGCAAAGTCTGGAGAGTGTGAGATAAACAATAGAGAATAGAGCATGGGATGGCTCCAGCCATCTAGCCAGTGAGTGCAGTGTTATTTGACCCACAGGAGAACATCCTGCTTCCCCACTGACGTCCACACCCATTCATACAGGGACCTGCCTGAAGTTGGTGCAAAATCATGGCAGGAGATGTTGGGCTCTGTGGAGAGGAGACAATAGCAGGAAGCATCTTGAATTCCCCAGAGCTCTGTGCTAGGACTGCACTGGGCAAGGGGTGGACTGGTCTGAGCTACTGCTCAAGGGAGTTAGGAGACAGGCACCTTGCCTCTGGCAGTCAGCGGGATCAGAACAACATAGATGAACACTGAAAAGGGGACTCTATTCTGGAGACCACTGTGGGTGATTAGGATGGCTCTGGGCAGGTCAGAAAGTGTAAGACCTCCTACCACACAGGCAAAAGATTGTCAGAGAGTGACACACAAGAGATGACAAGGAGGTTGTCCTGTTGACTCATCTCCCCAATCCAGCATCCACCAACTCCTGAATAGTTGCCCCTAGCGCTAGAGTTCAGTGGGTGGGTGGCTGGCCATCATTTTTAGGGTCCACAAACCAGATGCTGTGGTGTGCTATGGTTTGGGGCAGCACTCTTCCTCCAGCCTGGGGACTCTCACAACAGGCTCCACCCTTCCGTGACCTATTGTCAACTAGCCAGGCTCGTTTTGATGGGTGAATTTTGAGTACTTTCCCATTTGTGGGAGGCTAACACCCATGGGATTCACAGGTGCTGGGGCACTGGGTGGAGACTCAGGCATCACCCTTCCCCTTAGTGCAGCGACTTTCACACCAAAAGTGGTAGGTTCCAGCCCTGGAGGTAGAGAGAGGCAAGAAAAGCCACTTTCCCTGTGCAACTGGCAAGACTCTGTGGGGCTTTGGTGCAGATCAATAGTTGACAGTGCAGTGACTCTGCCTGTCAGACCAGCTTAGGTCATCCAGTAGGATCATAACCCTAGGGCATGATCTACACATCCAGGTGGATACCAACATGGAGTTCATGGTCAGGGAAGGAAAATCCTGGCCAGAGGCCACAGCAGGTGCACCAAGTAATGCCTCCCATCATAAGCAGCCTCGCAAGTGTGGTGGAAGAACCCTATATAACATATTAGTGGCTCTCCCTAGCAGCATATCAAGCAACAATAGAAGCACACACATCCAGGCTGGTAGGCAGCAGCTGCAATCTGCCTTGCTCCTGCCACCATTTTAAGGGGGAAGAGGGTCCCAGTAACCCTCAGGAGTGGCAAGAGCCTTCCTAAAGATTGGGACACTAGTATTCCTCACCTGGGGACTAGAAACCAACACAGAAGCATCAGATTATCTCAATAACTGGCTCCTCCACACAATCTACAACCAATGACAGAGAGGGTAATCCCACAGCTCAACACAGTGTCCTCCATCTCAAGCTATTATAGGGTCAGTGAAGTTATACACACAAGTGCAATTCACCACATGGAAGCTTAAGCTGGGAGACCAAACTCACTAATATCCACCAGCAAGAGATGAAGACAACAGGTCAGAGGTAACCCAACTTGCCAAAATATCTCTAAGGCAATATAAGACCAGAGCACCTCCTCCCACCACTGTTAAGGAACGTCCCTTGGAAGCTTCAAGTTAAGGGCACAAACCAGTTCTAGTACTCCCAGTTCTCAATTACCCTGATGAGAAAGAACCAGAGAGAGAACACAGGGAATATAAAAAATCAGAGAGAAAAGTCACCCCCAAAAGAAATCATGAGACCCTCAAAATCAGATACTAATTTAAATGAAATAATCAAATTGATGGAGGAAGAATTTCAAATATGGATTGCCAGGTAATTCAATGGAATTGAAGAGAAAATACAAACTCGAAGAATCCACAAGAACAATACAGGAAATAAATGAACAATTCTCTAAAGAAATTGAAATATTATGAAAAAAACAAACATATCTTGGAAATGAAGGAGGCATTCAAGGGACTTCAAAACACAGTGGAAAGCCTTAAAAATAGACTGGATCCCATCACACAGAGGAAAGAATCTCAGAGCTTGAAGATAATGCCTATGTGCTAATCAAATCAGATGAAAAAACACAGAAGCAAGAGACAAGAGCAGAACATACAAGAAATGTGAGATTAAGTAAAGAAACAAAATATAAGAATTATAGGCATCCCTAAGAAAGAAGAAGAAAATACACAAGGGCTGGAAAATATATTTCTTTGAATACTGGAGGAAAATATGCCTGGCCTGGCCAGAAACTCAGATATCCAGATAGAAGAAGCACACAGAACTCTAGAGAGACTCAATGTGAAGAGGCAAACAACATGTCACATAATTATTAGACTGGCCAAAGTAAATACAAAAAAGGCAATCCTTCACACAGTAAGACAAACAGATAACCTACAAAGGAAAACTTAGTCGGACTAACTGCAGACTTTTCAAATGAAACCCCAGAAGGGACTGGAGACCCATCCTCAATATTCTTAAATAGAACACTGGTCAACCTAGAATTCTTTACCTGGCAAAACTGAGCTTCAACTATGTGGGAGAAAAAAAACTGTCTCAGACAAGCAATCACTGATGGAATTTGAAAAGACCAGACCTACTCTGTAGGAAATACTCAGACCTGCATTATACACTGAACAGCACAACAGACACACATCAAATTAAAAACACTTAAGAGTTAAAGCCCAGAACCTGAATTCCACAATGGCTCAAGAGGTAAAATAATAAGAACTTACCCAACAATATGAACAGAAATCTACCCCAAATATCAATCCTCTCAATAAATGTGAATGGCTTGAATTGCCCTTTGAAGAGACTAGATTGGCTGAATGGATAAAATGTTATAAGCTGAGTATCTTCTGTCTCCAGGAAATGCATCTAACCGACAAAGATGCTTTCAGATTCAAGGTCAAGAGTTGGAAAACAAACTTTCAGGCAAATGGAAAACAAAGAGAGTGGGGGTAGTGATTCTGATTTCAGACAGCTTAAATTTTAAAATAGCAAAAGTAAAGAAAGACAAAGATGGTTACTATATAATGGTGAAAGAAAAAAAATCCAACAAGAAGACTTAACAATTCTTAATATCTATGCACCCAAAACAGGAGTACCTAGATATAGAAAACGAACTCTGTATGAACTAAATAGCATGATAAACAGTAATGCCATAGTAGCGGGGGATTTCAACATCCTATTGTCTGAAATGGACAGATCCTCCAAACAAAAAATAAGCAAAAATAGACTTAAACAGAGCTCTAGAACAAATGGGTCTAACAGACATCTACAAAACATTCCATCCAAATAAAGTGGAATATACATTCTTCTCATCACCTCACGGAACTTTCTCTGAAATAGACCACATCCCAGGCCACAAATCAGACCTCAACAAATTAAAAAAATAGAAATTGTGCCATGTATCTTTTCAGACCACAGTGGTCTAAAACTAGAGATCAATTCCAACAGAAACACTTGCTGCTTCACAAAGTCATGGAAATTAAATAATGTATTGCTAAATGACTGCTGGGTGAAGAAAGATTCAGATGGAGATCAAAAATTCTTTGAATTTTATGATAATGGGGACACAAGCTATCAAAACCTGTGGGATGCAGAAAAAGCATTCCTGAGAAGAAAACTAATAGCATGAAATGCTC